TTTATTTGTTATATAAAAAAAAATGGATCCGATGGATCTGATGGATCCGATGGATCTGATGGATCCAATGGATTTTAGTTATATAAAAAAAAATGGATCCGATGGATCTGATGGATCCGATGGATCTGATGTATCCGATGGATCTGATGGATCCAATGGATTTTAGTTATATAAAAAAAAATGGATCCGATGGATCTGATGGATCCAATGGATTTTACTTATATAAAAAAAAATGGATCCGATGGATCTGATGGATCCAATGGATTTTAGTTATATAAAAAAAAATGGATCTGATGGATCTGATGGATCCGATGGATCTGATGGATCCAATGGATTTTAGTTATATAAAAAAAAATGGATCCGATGGATCTGATGGATCCAATGGATTTTAGTTATATAAAAAAAAATGGATCTGATGGATCTGATGGATCCGATGGATCTGATGGATCCAATGGATTTTAGTTATATAAAAAAAAATGGATCCGATGGATCTGATGGATCCGATGGATCTGATGGATCCGATGGATCTGATGGATCCAATGGATTTTAGTTATATAAAAAAAAATGGATCCGATGGATCCAATGGATTTTAGTTATATAAAAAAAAATGGATCCGATGGATCTGATGGATCCAATGGATTTTAGTTATATAAAAAAAAATGGATCCGATGGATCTGATGGATCCGATGGATCTGATGGATCCAATGGATTTTAGTTATATAAAAAAAAATGGATCCGATGGATCTGATGGATCCGATGGATCTGATGGATTTTAGTTATATAAAAAAAATGGATCCGATGGATCTGATGGATCCAATGGATTTTAGTTATATAAAAAAAATGGATCCGATGGATCTGATGGATCGAATGGATCCATTTTTTTTATATAACTAAAATCCAATGTATCCATTGTATCCATCGGATCCATTTTTTTTTATATAACTAAAATCCAATGTATCCATTGGATCCATCAGATCCATCGGATCCATTTTTTTTTTATAACTAAAATCCAATCTAAGAGAGTACTCTACTTCTAAGAGAGTACTCTACTTCTAAGAGAGCACTCTACTTCTAAGAGAGCACTCTACTTCTAAGAGAGCACTCTACTTCTAAGAGAGCACTCTACTTCTAAGAGAGCACTCTACTTCTAAGAGAGTACTCTACTTCTAAGAGAGTACTCTACTTCTAAGAGAGTACTCTACTTCTAAGAGAGTACTCTACTTCTAAGAGAGTACTCTACTTCTAAGAGAGTACTCTACTTCTAAGAGAGTA